GTGTCCAAGAACTCTTTATTTCATGTTCATTTTTGAAAGATGCTTTCACAGGATACAGAATTCTAGGTTTCAGGATTTTTTCTTTTGTTGCTTTAAAGATGCAGCTTCACTGCTTTCTTGCTTGCATTATTTCTGATGAGGAATCTGCTGTTACACCCAATGCCTATTTTTTACTGTCTTTTTTTTTTTTGAATTGAAGTCTCACTCCTTCGCCCAGACTGGAGTGCAGTGGCACACATGCTCACAGTCACCCCAGTGTCAACCTGCTGGGCTCCGGTGACCCTTCCGCCTCAGCCTTCCGAATATCCAGAACTACAGACACACCACCACTCCTGGCTATTTTTAATTTTATTGTAGAGACGAGGTCTCGCCAAGTTGCCTGGGCTGGTCTTGAACCCGTGTTTGCTATCTTTTAAAATTATCCCACCTAATACTCTTTATGAGCAATTTGATTATGATATACCTTGGTGTAATTTTCCTCATGTTTCGTATGCCAGGTGCTCATTGAGCTTCTTGGATCTGCAAGTTCACAATTTTCACTACATTTGGAAAATATGTCTGCCATTATTTATTACATTTTTGTCATCTCCTTTCCCCTCCTATTCAGTAGGGGCCTGGTTACACACATATTAGGCCTCTTGGAATACTTAAGTGTTTTAGTTTTTATTTGGGCGCTATTGTATATGGTAGTAGTTTTCAAAAACCTAAATTCCTCTTGTTCATTGCTAGTATGTAAAAATGCAATTGAATTTGGTGTGTTATCCTTTTACTGTATGGCCCCACTGAACTCAATAATTAGTGTAATTTATTTATTTTAGTGCAATTTTTGGAATTTCCTACCTGTACCATCTTGTTGTCTGTAAACAGATAAAATTTTACTTCTTCTTTTCCAAGTTTTATGACTTCTGTTTATTTTCTCACTGTATTGCCCTGGCTAGTATATAAATGTGATGTTTAATGGGAGTGGTGAAACAGCACCTTGACCTTGTTCATGATCTCTGAGGAAAGCAGTCAGTCCTTTGCTGTTAGGTGTGATGTTAGCTATAGGCATTTTGTAGATGTCCTTTATCAAGTTATTTAAGTTTCCTAGTCCTTGTTTGATGAGAGATTTTTAAAAAATTATCATGAGTGGATTTGGATTTAGTCAAATACTTTTTTGCAGTATTCAGATGATCATGTGTATTTCTTTTCAGTTTATTAATACAGTGAATTACAGTGACTTTTGGATGTTGAAGCAGTCTTGAATTTCTTAGATAAACTTTACTTGGCTGTGATTTATTATCCTTTTTATGTATTGATGGATTCCATTTGTGAATACCTATATATATTTTTTAAAGAAATCTCTCTCTTTTTTTTTTTTTTTTTGAGTTGGAGTCTCCGTTGCCCAGGCTGGAATGCAGTGGCACACTCATGGACACCAGCATCAACCTGCTGGGCTCTGGCAATCCTTTCACTTCAGCCTTCCAAGTAGCTGGAACTACAGGCATGTGCTACCATGCCTGGCTAAACTACCTATAGTTAACTGAGGATTTTTGTGTTTATGTTCATGTGCGATGTTGGTCTGTAGTTTTCTTTTCTTATAATGTCTTTGGCTTGGTATAAAGTAATGCTGAACTCATAAGTAGGTTGCTAACTTAAAATATTTTCTTTGATTTTCTGCTAAAGATTATAGAGAATTGTTTTTGTTTTTCTTTATTTTAGTAGAATATGCTACCAGTGAAACCATATGGGCTTGGGTTTTTGTTGTTGCTGTTGTCATTGGAATAGCTGTAGGGCTATCCAGGTTATCTTTGTTTTCTTCAATGAGCTTTGATAGTTTTTGTCATTCAAAAAGCTTCCTCCATTTCATCTGAGTTTTTTAATTTGTGGGAATAGTATTTGTCTTAGTCTGCTTGGGCTGCTATAGCAAATACCACAGAGTGGATATCTTAAGCAACAGAAATTTATTTCTCAAAGTTCTGGGGGTGGGATCAAGGTGTTGACTGATTTGGTTTCTGGTGAAGACTCTCTTCCTGGTTTGCAGATGGCTGCTTTCTTGCTGTATCCTCACTCAATGAAGAGAGCGAGCTCTGGTGTTGTTTCTTCTTTTTCTCCTTCTTCCTCCTTCCTCCTCCTTCTTCTTCCTTCTTCCTCCTCTTCCTCCTCCTCCTCCTCCTTCCTCCTTCGAGTTAGAGTCTCACTCCATCGCCCAGGCTGGAGTGCAGTGACATGCTCACAGCCACCCCAGCATCAACCTGCTGGGCTCCAGTGATCCTTCTGTCTCAGCCTTCCAAGTAACTGGAACTATAGGCATGCACTACCATGCCTGGTTAGTTTTTGATTTATTGTAGAGACGAGGTCTCACCAAGTTGCCCTGACTGGCCTCAAGCCAGTGGGCTCAGGCAATCCACTTGCCTCGGCAGCCCAAAGTGCTGGGATTACAGGCTGAGCCACTGAGCCCAACCTCTTCTTCTTACAAGGGAACCAGTTCTATGGGATCAGGGCCTCATACTTATAACATCATTTAACCTTAATCAGCTATGAGGGCAAACTCTCGATCTCCAGTACAGTCACATGAAGGGTTAGGGGTTCAACACATGAATTTGGGGGGAACACAATTCAATTCGTAGCTATAGTCTTCTATTTTCCTTTTAATGTCTGTGGGATCTGTAGTAATGTTTTCCCTTTCATTCCTGATATTAGCAATTTGTGTCTTCTCTATTTCTTGATTAGTATGGCTAGAGGTTTATCAATTTTGTTGATTTTTTTCAAAGAACCAACTTTTGGTTTCATAAATTTTTTTTTTCATTTTTGTGTTTTAAGTTTTTTGCCTTCTCTTCCCATCCTTCTGCCTGACTTAGATTTATTTTCTCTTCTTGTTACTGAAGTTGGAAGGTTAGACTACTTATTTTAGGCCTTTTATTTTCTCTGATATAAGCATTTTATGCTATCAGTTTCCATCAAAGTACTGGCTAGCTGCATCTCACAAAGAATAATATGTTTGTATTTTAATTTTTACTTAGTTCAGAATATTTCTTTGAAACTTCCTCTTTGACCTGTGGTTATTTATTTAGAAGTGGATTGTTTTTCAAATATTTGGGAATTTTCCAGATAGCTTTCTAGTTTAATTCCATTATGTCAGATAACATACTTTATATGATTTCTATTTTTGAAAACATTTTTAAAGGATTGTTTTCAGTACCAGAATAAGGTCCATCTTGGTGAATGTTCCATGTGAAAAGAATGTGTACTTTGCTATTGTTGGATGAAGTGTTCTATAAATTTCTATGAACTCAGGTCTGTTGTTTGGTTATTCTGTATCCTTACTGATTTTGTTTACTTGTTCTACTGGTTGCTGAGATAGCAATGTTGATGTCTCTGATGATCATTCTTTCAGTTTTATTAGTTTTTGTTTCATGAACCTTTTTGAGTTGGGGCCTCACTATATTGCCCAGGCTATAATGCAGTGGCACAATCATGACTCATCTTGGCCTCGACCTCCTGGGCTCAGGTGATCCTTCTACCTCAGCCTCCCAAGTAGCTGTGACTACAGGTGCATGCCACCACACCCAACTAAGTTTTTCATAGAGACAAGATCTCGCTGTGTTGCCCAGGCTGTTCTCAAACTCCTGGCTCAAGGGACCCTCCTGCCTCAGTGCTCCTAAACTGCTGGGATTACCAGCATGAACCATTGTGCCTGACCTTGCTTCATGCACTTTGAAGCTCTGTTCCTAGGTACCTACACATGTAGGATGGCCTTGTCTTTTTGGAAAATTGACTGCTTTTTATTCTGTGATACACCTCTTCGTCCCTGGTGATATTCCTTGTTTCAAAGTGTTCTCTGATACTCATAGAGCCTCTCTGGCTTCGTTTGGTTCGTGTTTGGATGGTGTAGCTTTTTCTACCTACCTATTTCTTTATTTTCAGAGTCAGTGCATGACACTTATTCTGATGTTCTTACGGGCCCTTTCCACACAGGGTAGAAACTGGGTGTTTGAGTCGGCCTCCTCTTCCAGGTGGCCACACTTGCTGTCAGATGAGGGCTCTTAACCTCCTCTCCAAGGCGCTTGGCTCAGAGCCTGGCGTGGGGTGGTTGCTGCAGAAGTCCTCCCTGCATGAAAAAGTCGACGTTCTGTGACAAGAAGGATGAATGTCCTCCCTGGATTGGGGCATGGGTGAGCTGACCAGCCTGGGGAACAGACGGTGGACAGCTCCTTGGGGACCTCTGCTCGGATGCCTGTGCCTGTGTCCAGCACTGCTGGTGGTGGCCAGTGGGTGTGGTCAGTTGGGCTTAGGGCGCTGTGAGTTAGTGACCTAAGTGGAAGCCCTGCATGGAGAGTCAAGTAAAATTTTACGTGGGAACGAGAAAGCCCGTTGGCCCCAAACGCAAGGTCATCAAGGGCAGGGAGGAGAAGAGGAAGAAGACCCTCCACCAACGCCACCAGTAGATGACATCACAGGAGGACATCACACAGCCCCGTGTGCCTCTTGAAGGTGATGAGCTTTGAAGGCAGCAGGCTGCCCAGAGTCTTGACCAGGGCCCCATGCCCGCCTGTGTGATGGTTTCGCCAGCAGCTTGGGACATCTGTCTCCCTCCATCGTGTGCTGAGCAGGCCCTTCTCGAGAAGAGGACAGGAGCCACCTGGCACCAAGGGAGGACCAAGGGTGGACTTTGTCTCAGGAAGACATGAAAGTGGCCCTGGCCCGTACTCACTGGGTGGTGCTCAAGTGTCCCAGCCAAGGGACAGTGACCCCACTGTGTCCTTCCAGCTCTTTCTGCGCACAAGAGGCCCAGGGGTAGAAGGAGGCCCTGCTGGGACCGTCGCAGTCAGCGGGAACCCTGCCCTGGCCGGAGCTGTGTGGGGTGTGCTGGGACAGCGGGGCACCCGCCCCAGCAGAGTGGGCCTCGGCCATGCTCCTGCCTTTTGTGGCTTTGAGACGTCGTGGTGGGCACCGGAGGCAGGGGTCACGTGGGGTTGCTCACATGACTAACACGCTCCCTTTGTTTTCCAGAACCCAAGATGATGATTCCACCAGGGGAGTGCATGTATGCGGGGAGGAAACGCCGGAAACCCCTTCAGAAACAGTAACGTGTCTTCCACTTTTGCTGTCACCACAAAGCGGGAAGTGTTTGCATTTTCATAGAAAATAGTGACTTTTAGGAACAAAGTGAGCCAGGAAGAGGTTTTAGCAGGCTTCCTGGTGTCGGTGTGACACAGTTGTGGCGCCATTGTGCCTGATGTGAGAGTCCAGCAGATACATCCCAGGGCAGCCAGGCCGCATGGGATCCACCCGTGTAGGCGGGCCTAGGTGGCCCAACTCTCCAGTGGGGGGTCCCTCGTGAACTTGCCAGGGCTTGCTGGCTGCTGTCCTGATCCCCGGGGGAGGGCGAGGGCAGGGTCAGGTGACAGGCTTTGTGGAACATCCACGCATCCTTCCAGATGCGTCCACATGTTGGAACCTTCATTCTCTCTAACAGCCCCAGGGAGGACACCACTAGAGCCTCTGAGACTTCACCACAGGCGACAGGGGCCTATGGGCCTCTGGAAGCTTTAGTCAGAGTGGAGAGGAGGGTCCAGGGCCCAAGATCCCGCCCTCTGGGGACACAAAGGCTGTGCTCTGGGTCCCTCTGCCTGCCCGCGGCGGGGCCCTCTGGAGTCTGGGCTGGCCAAGCCAGGCAGTGTGTGGTGCTGGCGGCAATGACTGGAATTTGGCAACCACCTGTGGGGAGGGCAGCAAAGGAGTGGCACCCTCAGGGGGACACAGTGCCCAGCTGCTCCTGCGGGGTCCGTGGACTGGGAAATGAGTTGCTTGACACAGCAGCATGTACTGCACAGTTGTGGATGTGACTTCCCTGTGTGTGACACAGCTGGGTGTGTAAGGCCATGTGTGAGTGTGTGTGAGACTCCACGTGAGGGCTGTGTGTACTCCTGCATCAGTGTCTGTGTGTGGGTCTGGGTCTGGACGGAAGCGCCCTCCTGGCCTTCAGTGGCTGCAGGATTCTGTGCAAGTGGCATCCACTGCCCGACACACACACTCACTGTGAAGCTGAGGTCGACTTCTTGGGGGCAGGACCGCAGAAGGTGGTCTTTCTGCCTGACCTGATTGTGTGGCCTTGGGGCATCCTGAGCGCTGAAGGGCTCAGATGGAACTGGGGACCAGGATTCAGGAAGTGCTGGGGGTCTGCAGGGAAGGGGCAGCATTCTGGGGGCCAGGGAGGACAGAGCTGGCTGCATGTAGGAGGAGCCAGAGAAGGGCTGAGGTGTTTCCATGACTGTCTTCTCAGGAGTGGCAGTGGAATGTGTCCCTGGGTATGTGATGTGAGAGACTCGTGGCAGCGACTTGGCACATGGCTGCAAATACAGTGGCCTCTGCGGTAGGGCAGTCTAGGGAAGAATCAGAACTAGATTCCCTGCTTTTACTGTGTTTTTGTCCCAATTCAAAAGCTTGAGGCAGTGAGTTTTCGGGGCACCGGGCATCTGCCTTTCACCTGCCGATCAATGCTTTGAGCGGGTGGTGTGTTCGACTAATTCAAGACTTGGCCGGCTCCTCAACCTGGCCCTGCCTGGAGGCATCTGATTTTGACAGTTTCTGGTGAATCGCTCCTGAGATATTTTGTGAATGAACTAGCAAATGTGCACGTGCAGTTTATAGGCTTCCTGCCTTGGCATACGAATTCCAGCTTTGTGCACACTGCTGTCCTCCTTAGCGATCATCCCCCAACCACACACCCCATTTTGGCTACACAGTGTAGCGGCATGCTGAGGTTTGTTTGCCAGCCCTCTGCTGGTGCTTGTTGTCAGCCGAAGTCTTCGCAGATGCTGAGCTTGCTGGTGTGTTTGTGTTGGTTACTCTAAAGTAATGGGCCCTGACGACTCTTCACCTGGACTCTCAGGGTTGGGTTTGAGGGATAAGGTGATGCTTCCCTTTGGGACAGGGCGCCTTGTTGACAGTTCCCTGTAAATGTGGTAGGTTCCTGAAGCTCAGTGTTCCTGGACACAGCAAAAATCCACTGCACATGTAGCACCAGTTAGGACCTTTCGCGTCCCCCATGGGATGTAGAGACACAGGGTAAATGATGATACACTGCAGCCCGTACTGCCTGAGTGGTAAGCACTTTGTCTGTGACTCGGGGTCTCTTGTCTTCTTTCTGAATCCACGAAACAGTAACACATTACAGTCTTGCAGGGAGGGTGGAATCGAGTCCCACATCCCACGCTCATGCATGGGGAGGGTAAGTACCTAGACGTGAAACTTGCTCTGTCAAAGGGGAGGAGCAGGTGTGATGTCGCAGTTGTGACCAAACTTCCAAGTTCGAGAGCTGTACCCAGCTAAGTCCTCATCCGTGCCTCCTCCCTGGGCCTGGCACATGGTGTGTTCCCGACTTTGGAGACTTGAATGTGCATCCTCTGATCACAAGCGAGGCCTAAGAGCTTTTTGTATTCCCTTTTCTGTGAGCCATCTATGTTTTATCTCTTGCTCATCTTAAAAATTAGATCATTTATGTGTTTGTCCTTCTTGGTTTGTGAATTAGGAAATTAATTATTGAACGAGTTTCAATATTTTACCCTGGTTTTGATTTTACTTGTGTGTTCTTTGCCATGTGGGAAAAAACTGAACTTGTATGAAATTGAATTTATTGATCTTTTCTTTGTGGCTAATTAATTTTACATCATGATTAGAAAGATCTTTCCTGCTTCAGATTTATATCAGAATAGTCCCATTATATCTTCTAACACGTTCCTTAAAAAATAATATGTATATGTTTAAATTTAAAACTTCTGAGCACTTGAGAAAAAGAGGAAAAAATAAACGGAAAAGAACAAAAGACAAAAGCTGATTTGCAGGGCAACGAAAGACAGTGAGTGGCTTCAGTGTCTCAGACCCAGACACGCACACCTGCTGCAATCACAAGTCCTGGCTGTGTGTGCCAAAAGGTGAGGTGCAGGGAGGTGGAGGAGGCTGGCATGTCAAGCGTGGGCATCTTCATGAAGGCAGTGGTGCTAACTTAGTGGGGGGCTGCTGGGCATGTGCACCTGTCTTTGTTGGTTGCCTTCTCTTGGCATAGTGATTCTAGACTCGTCCGTATCTGTTTGCGTCAAGTGTGCTCCTTTTATTGCAGATGCATGGGTATGCCAGGTTTGCTTATTCACGTGCAGAGAGACATTTTGGATGTTCCCAGTTTTGGGCTGTCACAAATAAAGCTGCCACAAACATTTTTTTACAAGTCTGTATTGGTATATGTTTTTTGTCTCTCAGTGCATGTTAACTTTCTAAGAATCCATCTAGCTGTTTTTCAAAGCAGTTGTACCACGTCATGTTCCCAGTGACGGCGCAGGAGGGTTCCAGCTCTCTCCATTCTCACCAGTACTTGTCATGGCCAGTCTTTTTCATCGGGGCCGTCCTCATGGGTTGGTGGTATCTCATCAGGGTTTTGATTTCCATTTCCCTGATGACTAATGGTGTTGAATAAATTCTTATGTGTCTACTCATCATCCATATATCTAATCTGGTGAAGTGTCTGTTTAAATAACTTGCCTATATTCTTATTGGTTTGTTTTTTTTATAGTATTGAGTTGCAAGTGTGGTTTCTTTTTGTTTGTTTGTTTGTTTCACATATCCTGGATGCAAGCCCTTGTTTCTTCCAGTTGATGACTTTTCATTTTCTTAATATTCTTTCAAAAGATATTTTTAAAGCTTTTGATGAAGACTGCTTTATTAATTTTTTGTTCTTTTTGTGTTCTAGGAGACCCATGACTATCCTGAGGGCTCAGATTTTTGCACATGTTAACTTGTAAAGCTTTATAGTATTTAGCTATATAATCCATTTTGAGTTAATTTTGGGATCTTGTGTGAGACTAGTTCATTTGTTTTCATGAATATACAGTTGATCTGACACCATTTCTGGAAAAGACTTTCCTTTCCCTATTGAATTGCTCTAGTATCTATGTGGAATAATGTAAAATCAATAGACTCAATGAAAAATATGTGTCTACTATATTCACTCTATTCTGTTCGTCTGTATTTCTATGTTTTCTCTATTAACCAAAGCATCTTTAATATTGTGGTTTTAGAGAAGGCTTAAAATCAGTAGGATAAGTCCTCCCACCGTGTTCTCCTTTTTAGCTGGCTATTCTAGGTCTCTTGCTTTTCCATGTACATTTTAGAATCACTTTGTCAATTTCTGTAAAAATTCCTGTTGGAATTAGATTGCATTGAATATATATATCAGTTTGAGGGAGAATTGCCATCTTAACAATAATAAGCCTTCCAATCCAAGAACACAGTATTCTTTCTGTTTATTTTGGTCTTTCAAAGTTTTTCCAGTGTCATTGTGTAGCCCTGGCATCTTTTGTTGGATTGATCCTCAGGTACTTTTGTTTCTGGTGCCTCGAGGCATCCTCTGTAACTCTCCTTCCTGCTAGCTGGCTTGCTACCTCCCCCACCTGCTTCTGTGCTGAGGGTTTTGGATTGAACTCCCTGGTTCCCGTCACCACCCGCTGAGTCTCCTCCACCCTGGAGTGAGCTGGAGCATCTTCCCTGTGCCTCCTCACTGGCTCCTGCACCTCAGTCCATGGCCAGCATCCCCTCCTCCCAGCCCCATGATGGCAGTCCCCACCCCTTCTGCCCACCTATGTGGGTCAGCACTCATGGAGCTGGGAGTGGAGGCTGGTGGTGGCACCTGCATCAGGTCCATCAGGTGCTCTGAGAATGTCTGGAGGAGTGAAGCTCCTTGAACACCCTCTCCTTCACCAGGAAATGGCCCTCCCCTTTGGTGCCAGGCAAAAAGGCCTTGGGGGAGGCAGAGAACAGCCATGGCTCAGCTGGGTGACGGGCCCCACCCTCAAGGAGAGGCAGCTCTACGTGGGGTGGGATCTGAGCCGGCCATGATGCAGAGAGGCCTTGCCCAGGTGGGGATGGCACCGGGTGCTGAGGCAGCCGAGGGAAGGTACAAGCACCATGTGAGGGCGGGCAGGCAGGCATCCACAGACGTGAGCTGGAGGCAAGGAGGACACATGTGACCTTGGAGGACAAAGTCTGTCTTGGCCTGTTTCTGTTGCTTATAGCAGAATACCTGAAACTGAATGATTTATAGGAAAAGGAGTTTATTTCTCACAGTTATGGAGACTGAGAAGTCCATGGGAAGGGGCTGCATCTGGTGAAGCCATCTTGCAGGCAGGACTCTGAGTCCAGAGCTCGAGGCTGTCAGACAGCGAGGCAGTGGGGCAGGTGGCTCGGGTTGCTCCTCCTTTTGTTATGAAGCCACCAGTTCCCCTCTCGTGGTAACTCTTGACCCCACGAGCCCGTCTATGCATCTATAGTAACCCGGTCATAGTGCCCTTGTGATCAATCACTTCTTAAAGGCCCACCTCGCAATACTGCCACAGGGGAGGTTAAGTTTCAACAGGAGTTTTGGAGGGGATGAGCACTCAAACCATAGCACAGCCATGTGGACTGGGTGAAGGCGCTGTGTGGCCTGGCAGGGCATTGCTCCAGTGCCTGCGCACGCCTGCCGTGTGTCCGTAGCCCACCCTCTCTGCTGCTGCTGGCCATCGGCTGGCTCGCCCATCTTCCTGGTGTCCCTCTCCGACCTCCCTCGATGGCTACCTGCCAATCAGGCATCCCCTCGCTTTCTGGGGAGGCCACAGGTGTTCTTCCCTGGCAGGTGGGCCTCTCCTCTGGCCAGGGCATGCCAGTGTACTCTAGCATGGTCCTGTTTATCCCCAGGTTCTCCTTCCTGTTTATTCTCTGGCTAGCAGGTTGAGTCATTTTTGGTGAGTGCCACATTACAAAAAACCAGAAAGTCTAAAGGTGACCAAAGATAATCCATAGAATGGGAGAGAATATTGTAGAACACGTACTTGGCAGGATTCTCATAGCCTGAACATACAGGATTCTTGGAGTTCAAGAACAAAAAGACAAACAGTCAATGTAACACTGAGCAAAGGACTTGCAACAATATCTCTCCAAAGAAGATACACCAGTGGACAGCAAGCACATGAGACAGTACTCAACATCATTAGCCATTAGAGAAATGCAAAGCAAAACCACAGGGAGATGCCACTTTTGGTCCACTAGAATGACCACCATTAAAGAAAGGAAAGTATTAGCCAGGCGTTGTAGTGTGCGCCTGTAGTTCTGGCTCCTTGGAAGGCTGAGGTGAAAGGATCACCGGAGCCCAGCAGGTCGATGCTGGGGTGGCTGTGAGCTGCACTCTAGCCTGGTCGACGGAGTGAGATTCCAACTCAGAAAAAAAAAAAAAGGAAAGTAATACATGTAGGTAAGGGTGTGGAGAAACTGGAGCCCTTATACATTGCTGATGGGAATGTAGACTGGTGTAGCCACTGTGGAAAGCAGTTGGGTGGTTCCTCCAAAAGTTAAATATAGGCCAGGCATGGTCACTCATGCCTGTAATCCCGCATTTTGGGAGGCTGAGGCAGGAGGATTGCTTGAGGCCAGGAGTTTGAGACTAGCCTGGGCAACATATTGAGACTCTGTCTCTACCAAAAAAAAAAAGTATCCGGGTGTGATGCTGTATACCTGTAGTCCTAGCTACTAGGGAGGCTGAGGTGGGAGGATTGCTTGAGCCCAGGAGTTTGAAGCTGCAGTGAGATATGATTGCACCACTGCACTCCAGTGTTGGTGACAGAGCAAGATCCTATCTCAAAAATTAATAATTAAACATAGAATTAACATGACCCAGCAATTCCACTCCTGATTATATATCCAAGAGAATTGAAAGCATGTGTTCAAACAAAATCTTCTAAATGGGTGTTCACTGCAGCTTTATTCACAATAGCCAAGCAGAGGAAACAACCGAAACGTTCATATGTGGTCTGTTCACACACTAGAATATTACTCAGCCATAAAAAGGAATGAAGCACTAACACATAATACAACATAGATTAACCTTGAAAATATTAGGCCATGTGAAAGAAGCTAAACACAAAAGGTCATGTATTGTTTGATTCCACTTATCTTAAATATCCTTAATAGGCAAATCTATAAAGACAGAAAGCAGGTTGTTGGTGGCCGGGGTCTAGAGGAAAGAGAATCAGGAGAGACTGCTAATAGGTTAAGGGGGCTCTCTTGTGATGATAACAATGTTTGGAGCTAGATAGAGGTGATGGTTGCACAACTTGTGTTTGCACTAAATACCACTAAACTGTTCACTTTTAGATGGATAGTTTTGTTATGTGAATTACATCTCAACTTAAAAAAATAAAACCAAAAATAAAACCTGAGTAGCTCTGGATTTGATGCTGTGAGGCTACTTGTAATTGGTTTATGGAGTAGGTCATTAGACAAAGAAAGGGAAGGGCTCTTGTGGTGGAGTTTCTGATAGAAGGAATGGCTTAAGACTTGTAGCCTGCAGGCTGTCAGCTTATTTATAACTGCAAACATGATAGAAAAATAAGGAACTTCTGAACAAAAGACACCAAACCTCCAATAAACAATAGGAGTCCCACCACTGTGATGTACCACGATGACAGCAAGGTACATCACAATGGTGGGACTCCTATTGTTTATCGGAGGTTTGGTGTCTGGTAAGTCAGGCCAGACCACTTCTGTGGTTCTGCCTGAATGCACTCTGCTCCGTCTCCCTAACCATTCCCAGGAACTGGTCTCTGCACTGGCTACCATTTTTACTTTTGCACAATTATCTGTGGGTGATATCTAGAATGAGGTGAAGTAGTTTCTGTGGTGATTAAGAGGACCAGATGAAGGAGACTGTCACTGTGAGATAAGAAGGTCACACACAGGGACAGTCACTGTGAGGTGGTAGTGTCAGAAGAAGAAGATTGTTACTGTGAGGCCATAGGGTCATCTGAGGGGACTGTCACTCAGAGAGGGTCATGGTCATGAGGGGACCATCATTCTGAAGTGAGAGGGTCAGATGAGGGGACCGTCACTCTGAGGTGAGGCAGATCAAGGGACTGTCACGCTGAGGTGAGAGGGTCAGATGAAGGCGACCGTCAATCGTGGTGAGAGGGTCAGATGAAGGGGATTGTTACTCTGCAGCGAGTGTCAGATGAAGGGGACAGTCATTCTGAGTTGAGTGGGTCAGATGAAGGGATCGTCATGCTGAGGTGAGAGCATTATATGAGGAGACCATCATTCTGAGGTGGAAGGGTCAGATGAAGGGACCATCACTCTGAGATGAGAGGGTCAGATGAGAAGAGACCATCATGCTGAGGTGAGAGGGTCAGAAGAAGAAATTGTCACACGGAGGTAAGAAGATCAGATTAGGGGACATCATTCTGAGTTGAGAGGGTCAGATGAAGGGGAAAGTCATTCTGAGGTGAGAGGGTCAGCTGAATGAACTGTCACTCCTAGGTGAGAGGGTCAGATGAAGGGACCATCAATCTGAGGTGAGAGGGTCAGATGAAGGGGATTGTCACACTGAGGTGTAGGGTCAGGTGAGGGGACCCTCACTCTAACCGGAGAGGGTCAGATGGAGGGAACATTCATTCTGAGGGGAGAGGGTCGGATGAAGGGAGCGTTATACTGGCTTGAGAGAGTCAGACGAAGGCACTGCCACTGTGATGTCAGATGAATGGATCAGTCCCTCTGAAGTAAGAGAGATAAGAGCACGGTCACTGTGAGGTGAGATCACAGATCAAGGGAACGGTCACTGTGGCATGAACTGTGAGATGAATGTCCTGTCATGTTGGGGCAGGTTGGCCCTGGACCTATCTCTAGGCATCGTGGTTTGAAGTCCTGGCAGGATGATCCTCCTGTGTGGGCAGAGCAGGTCTGCCATGGCCTCCTCAGAGATTTGAGTGAGGCATTTTCTGTCCCTTCCTTGGCCACAGCCACGTCTGCTGGGCCTAGGAGTGGCGGGTCCCCAGGCTCTTTGCACTGAAGGTCCTCGAACATTCTCATGCCAGCCTTCTTGAGCCCCGCTCTGCAGAGGCCACAGTGAAGCCAGAAGGCCTCTCGCACTACAAGGCACAGCCTGGGAGCTGCAAGGCCCAAGAGGCTTGTTGGAGTCAGGTGTGGAGTCAGGAGTTTCAGGTCTTACCTGTAGGTGCCGTGAGAAGCTTCTTGCTTTTCCTGGCATGTGCCAGGCAAGGCCCTGAAGACCGGGAGACCCTGAAGGACGCTGAAAGAGCGTGGGGTTTTCCACACACACTCTTTTACCTAGAAGGCCAAAGGTCGCATGTCCTCCTCCCACCTCAGGGAACCAACCGAGAGGTCAAGACGCATGCCAGCCTCCCACGGCCAGGTGGCTGCACTTTGTCCTCGCCCGAGCTGTTCTCGCACCAGTTTGTTCTTGGTTTCTCTCTGTTGAGTTACAGTTTACGATGTACATTTTGGTTTTTCAGTGTGTTGTCTTCAGGCGACTTCTAGTTGTTGCCTGCACTTTTCTCTTGGCGGCAGCTTGAATGCCCCTGGAGAGCAGCTTTCCACCCCGTGGAGCCAGTGCTTCAGTGGAGAAGCCTGTCTGACTGAGGCGTCTCCCACAGGAGGCCCGCCCTGGGGGCTGAGAAGTCTAACCCTTCCAAGCGGCACCGGGACCGCCTCAACGCAGAGCTGGACCACCTGGCCAGCCTGCTGCCGTTTCCACCCGATGTCATCTCCAAGCTGGACAAGCTTTCCGTCCTGCGCCTCAGCGTCAGTTACCTGCGAGTGAAGAGCTTTTTCCAAGGTAGGACTAACCCACATTCAGCTGGGTCTGCCCTGGGTCCTCCTGGGTCTCACCTATGTGTACCTGGGTCTAGCTGGGTCTTGCCTGAGGCCTCCTGGGTCTCCCCTGGGGCCAGCTCTCACCAGGTGAAGTGTGTCTGGCTGGTGGGTATGTGATGTGTACCCGCTTCTTCCCCACCCCGCTCGCACTGACTCACCCAGGAGACCTGGCTCCTGGCTGTGAGCTGGCAGTGCTGTGGATTCTCCCAGGTGCCAGCTCTGGCCCTGGCTGTTCCTGACACTCAGGCCAGGGCCTACCACCCCTCTTTGGGCCTCTGGCCCTGGGTTTGGTGACTGCTGTGCAGATCTGGTGGGAGAGGCTAGAGCTGGCTCTCCCCTACTGGTCCTCACTGGGGCTTAACCTAGCCCTGGGGCCTCCAGGGCTGGGCTCCATGGAGGAGCAGGACGACCGAGGCAGCCGACCCCGTGTGGCCTGTTGCCTGGGCTGCTCTGGAGGACTGCGTTGCCCTGCCCCAGTCCTCGGCCGCCCTGGGGTACCTGTGTAGACCCTTCCCCAGCTCTGGGTGTGCCTTGGGTGTCGTCATGGACTCTGCTCCAGCCCTGGGTGCCACTGGGGTGCTCGTATGGCTCCCGCTCTAGCCCTGGGCGTCCCTGGGGCGCCCACACAAACCTTGCTTCAGCCCTGGGTGTCCCTTGGGTGCCTCATGGGCCCTGCCTCCTCCCTGGTGCCCCTGGGTGCCCACATAGACCCTGCCCCAGCCCTGGTGCCCCCGGGGTGCTCGCGCAGGCCCTGCCCTAACCTTGGTGCTCTTTCACTGCCCACACTCCAAGCCAGGCCCCTCCCTAAGAACTACTGCTGTGTCCTGTTCTTCCAAGGTGGGAGCTTCCAGGAGATCCTGCATCTCAGGGCCTCCTTTAAGCTCCAGCCTTCCTTTGGGTAGAAGGATTTTCAGTTTCCTCCCCAGCACACAGGAACTTTTGTTCTGGAGATGAGGATTGGTGGGGTCTGGCCCTGGCCCTGCCCCCATGTTTTCTTCGACCTTCCCGTGAGGTCCCTGGAAAGGCATATCCCTGCTGTGTCCCCCAGGGGTTCCATTTTCAGGATTTTATCTGAATTCTCCTCGCCAGTATCCACAGTGTCTGGTTCGGTCTTGTCGGTCCTTGGAACTGCTGTATTTGCTTAAGTTTCTGGTTGCTGCGTGCCTGGGACCTTAGATTTCTCATGGGCTCAAGAGAACTTGCAGACTCATGGACTGAGGCCCCTGACGCTGTTGGAAGGTGGAAGAGAAGCTGCTTCCAACTTCTGGGTCTCCCTGCTGAGGGTGGCATGCCCTGAAGTGGTTAGAATCATACTACTTTAAAAATTAAAAATCCATTTGCCTGCCAGGTGGAACCTCCAGCAATGGGTCAGATGACTCTTCTAGGTCAGCTGCCTGGGTGCAGTGTGGCCAGAGTGCATTCTGATTCTGGGTGGAGAGTGCTGCCGGGTCCGCTCCTCGCATCCCTCTAGGGGAAGGGGGTCTGTCTCAGTGTGTGACGCTCTTAGCACTTGGGCCCTACAGGTCTTCAGGAATCCCAGTGAAGGCCATTGCCCATGGGAACATGGGAAGGAAAACCCATCAACACTCAGTGTTGCACACAGTGTCCCACTGTGCCACGGCTCTGGTCTCCCCTGGTCCTGGAAGTCCCCCGTCTCCACGTGAATCGAACACTGCACAGTGTTAATGTTTCTCTCTGTGTGGTGAAATTACAGCATGTCTTAGCTTTACTATCCAGGCTTTCCAATTTCATACTGGAAATGTATTCGTTTTATGCATTCATCTCATCCCCATCCTGGGCCTCCTTGCCCCCAGGCACTGTGTAGTCACTCCTAGCTCCGGGGGAGTTGGGCTCAGTTGACCTCAGAGACCTGGAGTGTTGCCACATGTGCAGGACGCGGCTTTTCCAGGAGGGCTATATTGTGGTGAAGAAGCTGAGAAATGCAAAACGTGGCAGAGTACCACCCTGAGCACACCCATGCGTGGGGCACCAGGACAGGATGGGGCGTGGCTCCCGGATTTGCTCTCTGGGAAGCCCCTTTCATGGATGGAGTGGTGTGGGAGGCGGCCTCTGTGTTTGGACAATGCAGCCGCAACTGGGACTGCCCCGGCTGGGGAGGCTTTGACCCTGAGCCGAAGATGCCGCCCTCCTCCCAAAGCGCACTCAAAACGCAGACCTGACCTCCTGGCTGCGAGCCTTGGCAGGCAGGGGTCACTTTCTCTCTGGACGTGTCCTGCTGTGCCCAGACAGGCCAGGACTTGGAGGGCTGTGAAAATCTTCAATTCCGATGTTTCCAGCAAGTTCAGACGACCGTACGGAAGGATACCTGAATGCCGGTTCTTCTTAACCTGCAAGTGAGGGAGTTTCCCATGTGACCACAGATGGCAAACCTGTGGCCATGTGCCCTGCTGGGCCACCTGCTGATGCAGATGTGGCACCTGGACGTCAGTCTGACCCATGCGTGGTGAAGGCTCACGCCTGGCAGCAGACAAAGCAAATCTCAGTGGCCCACGGGCTTTATGAGAACAGCTCAGCTTTCACAGCTGGTCCAACAAACTTCTTGATTTTTCATCAAGGATTCGGAACTTTGCAGTCCCTTTTAAGCTGCACACTTTAAACTAAATTCTAAAAATTCCTCACTTCATGTCCACTGTGTAGTTAGAAAAAAGTGAGTAAAAACTGGATCTTAACCCGTGCCTCTTGACTCAGAGATGGATAAGCTAATTTCATTAAAACTGCCATAAAAAGGCACCTTTGAGAAGGACATGAACCGGGAAGTTTCAGCCTCAGACGGTGATGATGGCCAGAAAATGGACTTGTAAAGTTTCCCCTACTGCTAACTTCCATGCATTTTTGGGAGGCAGTGGGTTTGTTTTGTTTTTATTTATTTGGGGACTGGCACTTTAAGATACAAAACCCTCTGCTTCTCCCCTCGTCTGCCGGTGACTGTTAGGCTGGGATTTTCCACTCTTGTCAGCTCTACTATTCACAAGAGGAGGAATTCAGGGTAAAGGAAAAGGGAGGGAGGCGGCACAGGGGAGATGGTCGCTCATCGCCTTGAGGAGCACAAGGGGCGCGGCAGAACCGTCCACATCTGCCTGATCTTGTTGAGGAGGTGGGCAGCTGGGCCCCTTCCAGGCTCATTCCTGGGTCAGAGAGTGGGATGTGAGACTCTGAGCACTGGCTGGGAAGGGTTCGAGAAGCCCCAGTCGCTGTTGCCAAGGCCCAGTGGTTGGTCAGGTCACCCTCCCAGAGCAAAGGCACCACAGTGCTGACTCCCTGGGGGGCGCCTGCCTTCCCCTGGAAGTCCATGGTGGGCAGACATGGCTGAGAAGTGCTCAGGAGCGAAGGCCCTCAGTCCACCCAGGCCTGGCATGGGGACTATGTCTACCTGCTGACGCACCAGGACCAGAGCGTGGATCGGGGCAAACGCATGTGTGCCTCCATTGCTGTGGAGAAGAATGCAGAGAGCGGGAACAGTCCAAAGCAAAGCAGAGCGAGAAGGGAGGGGAGGCACAGCTGCAACTCTGTGAAGACCAGAGACATTTCCTGTGGGTCGCTGATGCGCCATCCTTCCTTGGTTCTCACCTGTGTGGGGCATCGGAATGTTTGTTCCTTTGTGTTCTCAGTGTGCAGCTGTGGGGCCTGAACGCACACCTGTGCCAGTCCCGGAACCCCCCCACTCGGGGTCGGTTCTGTTCCTGAAGCTCACCTGGGCTGAAGGGGCATGTCTGCTTCACCCGCACTGGGGGTAGAACAAGAACAGAAGCCCCACAACATCCTGAAGATGGATCCTGGGATCTTGAACTTGGGAATACCATGTTCATTAGCTGTCAAAAGTTGAGTGTCTCTTGGGACCATTAATGGTTTTGTAAGCTCAGGCCTGAGGTGTGTGTAATTATTAAGCCAAATTGTACCAGTTTTCAGCTTTCACTGAAGATTTATTCTTCTCTTGATGATCCTTGCTATGGACTGAATGTTCGTGCCTCCTTCCCGTTCATATGCTGAAGCCCTAACCCCCAGTGTGACTGCATTTGGAGACAGGCCTTAGGGGAGGTCATTCAGGTCAACGAGGTCATGAGGGAGGGGTTCTGATCTGATAGGGTTAGCATACTTGAAAGAAGAACACTCACTCACTCTCACTCTTTGTACACAGAAGAAAGTCCACGTGAAGACACAGTGAGGAGGAAGGCCCTCGTCAGAAACTGAGTTTGGTGGCTCCTTGAGCTTGGACTTCTAGCCTCCAGAACTGAGAGACAATAAAGCCATCTTGTCAAAGCAAGCCCCTCTGGCATGGCGGAGGGCTGGGACTTGCTTTCTCTCCTCTGCAGAGGGAGTGCTTGGTGCTCGTCTGGCCACAGATGCAGGCCTTGCTGCATGTGACCTCCAATGCTGCAGGTGCTGCTAGGCTCTCCTTCCCTCGTCCTGTTCTCTCCTTCACGGGTACTTTCCAGGAGGTGGCTTCCCCTTGGGGGACACTGCCGGCACCATCACACCAGTTTCAAATCATTTTGGGGTACCTCTGTGTGCTTACGGTCCAGGAAGGACAGAGACTGGTCTTGTCCTGATGCTGTGTGGCCACTCCTGTCCCTAATCCTGGGGCCCTTGAGGAATGGTTTCCCACATACCATTGTGGTTGCCGGGAAGGATGGCTCTTGATTATCTTGAGCTGATTTTATTTTTCCTGCCTCTTTTAGTTGCCTCCAAAAGGTAAATCTGGCCAATAAGAAGAGCAGGGACTCACTTATTCGTTTGCTCATTCATTCCCGGTGCTTGGGTCTATCCAGGACACGTGAAGGGAGCTGGCGAGCGTCAGCAGAAAACAACTGATTTCTTTCTCACATTTGTCCCAGCAAGCTTCCTTTGTGGGCGAGTTTTCTGTCTGTGCCTGCAAGAAAGGGATAGCCCTAGGACTCCTCTGGTCCCTTCTGGGCAATTCAGTGTCTTCCAGGAATGTGGCCC